GCCTGGGTAGACAACTTGTGCTAGCAGGGCTCACACTAGCATGCTAAAAATAGCTCTGTGGACGTTGTGGCACCGTCAAAGACTCAGGCTAGTGTGGGTCCGAGCTCAGGTGTCTAGACCAAGCCTTCATCAGTGCTGAAATGTCTGCACAGATATTTTGAGCACTGCCAACTCAAGTCCATGTACCTAGACTGGAAGGCTCCCTCCCAGCTGCAGTGTACACACACCTTAAGTGGCACAGGGCAAGGAGAGGTGGTGCTTAGTAGGCTTTGAGACACTGTTGCTTAATCCTGATTCTGGGATGCTGCTTGGGCCAGCGCAGACCCTGGAATAATTTAGATACCCCTGAAAGGTTAGTTAGGGTTTCCTGACCACAGCAGTTTATGGACAGAAATACTGCCCTAAATCCCAGCAGTCCTATGCATGGCAGCCCCTCTCCAGTTGAGTCCTGAAATGTCCCTCCCACTCCACCCTGACATGCCCCCTATGCAGGGCCCCAAGCTGATCTGTGTAGGTGGACGCCTGCACTGATAGGAAGCCCCAGAGAGATCAGTGGGGCTCCATGTGGGATGCTGGTCCGGCTGTGCAGGTCCTGTATTGTGTACGTACACACATACACACACACACACACACACACACACATGAGCCAATTGTTCCTGTTGGTATCGACAGGTTCTATGCTGGACAAAGCTGTGTAAATTGATTTCTATAATTATATCTAAAGTTTTGGAGACTGTATGGATTGTTTACAAAAAATTTAATGATTTTATTTTCTGTATTGCAGATGGCCCATTTTATCATGATGCTAAGACACAAATTTAGCTTTTAAAGGCCGTTTTGATTTTGAACCTGGGCTTTAAAAGCTCAGCACTGGCTTAGGTTATTGTTTCTTTGGTTAAAAAGTTTATAGACTCCTTTCGTATTCATGGACTCAGGCTTTAACCATTAAGGAGTCATTAGTTGCCAAGTGGAAGAAGCTATTATGGACAAAATCTTTTCCCCAGATGATTAACAAAATTAACATTGAGAAAATATTACCAATGATTACTGTTGTGAATACTTTGGCCTTATAATTTTGCCCTCCTAGTAACTAGACACACTCTCCTTAGTACTTGGGAAGCCAAACTAATGTCTGTTCCAACCGGTGTAGTTTTCTTTGGCATGCAGCATAAATGTAATGATACTGTACTTATTCCGAAACATCAAGGTGTCCTGCAAAGGGAGGGGAGGAAAATGAGGTTGTGCTCATTTCTGCTTCAAGTGTTATAAAGAAAGCCTGTGGTTTTTTAAACAATAATAATACATTCTGCTTGCTTTTAGTGTTCATATTGTGTCTACGTGATTCCCCCCACCCCAAACACACCCCACCTGGGAAGACACTCTGGATGATTGGAGAACTGGAAGGAATACGACATTAGAGCCAATGTGACTACTCACGTGAGACAAGCTAAGTACATGCACAAGAGTTTGCAGGATCAAGGCTTAAAGAGGAACCTCACATATTTTTATTTTTTAAAAGTGGTATTTCAATTTGGGTGGTTTACTTGCCATTTTTGCACATATTAGCTTGGGAAAATATTTTCTTGTTATTTTTGTCTTCTTATTCAAATTATTTGTTAAATAGACCCCAGGCCACTATGACTTCTTATCTTATGGTCAACAGCATCAATCAATAGAGATTTTCCAGATCTTCATTAGCGTACCTAAGGACAGACTTTGGCCCATAGCTTTTAGAATAAGGCTTGTTAACTACTATGCTTTGTCTGTGGCATGGATACCTCTACCAGCCTGCAGCAAAATGTTTAGGGGTTAATGCTTCACACATAGGCCTTTGGGCCCCAATCCTACAAGGGCTGACTCCTGTGCCCACACTGAGCCCTCTTGATGTCAGTGGAGCCCAGCATGGACTAAGAGGTTCACACATGCACAACACTTTGTAGGAAAAGGGGACTTATTTTTATTTTTAAAAAAATCTCAGCAGGAGAATCATTAGTTTTCTTTAAGCCAACCTTATGAATAAAAAAAGCTCATACTCACCACTTACATTGCATCTTGAGATCATTTTACAATCAATCCATATAGCACTTCCATGCACCTCATACCTAATACAGTGGGTATTACTGTGCCTAGGTTACAGATAGGAAAGCCAAGGCAGAGTAGTTAAGGGACCTGCCTAAGATTACAAGGAAGCTAGTGTCAAAGCTGACAGTAGTTCCTGACAGTCAGCTCTGTGGTCAGACTGTGAGACCCAACAGTTTATCAAAGGCACTTTTTACCATCACAGAGTGTATCCTGAACCTCCAGCAGGTAAGGTGATTTTGCCTTCCCCCATTTCAGTGGCCTCCACCTTTTTCCTCAAAGTTATAAATACATGCAGTCTCATAAACTGGTTCTTGGGCACCTCCTGCAGGGATCTGGACAGTGAAAGATGTGGCCCAGAGGTTAGATTTGAATTTCTCCAAAATTTGGAGGTGTTTAGATAGCAGATGTTAGTAATAACTTAGATATAGCCACCCATAAGGATCATCTTCTGTTTGTAGTCAGAGCAAAACATAATAAGTATTATTTTTACAGTGCCCTCCATTCCGGATCTCAGAATGCTTTAAATTCAGTGAAGACTCAAGCCTCACAATGTCCACACGAAGTCTGAAAGTATTTCTTAAAAACAACCCCTGCCCCCCATGTAAAGAGGGAAAATGGCACAAGGAATTTGAGTTTCCAAGAGTTACAGAAGAAGACTTTGATAGAGCCAGGAACAAAATCCAGATTCTCTGAATAAGTCCTGTGCTGAATCTCAAGATTTCCATTCCTCTCTACCATAGTCCCTATGAGACCTTGATTACACAGTACTTGAAACTAAAGGAATTATACTCTTCCTCCCGTAACTTCAAAATATTAAGCAGAAGATTGTGCTAACAGTATCATTACAGAAGTTGGTCCAATAAATATCTTACCTCACCCACCTTGTCTCTATCATGAATAACAATTACATTTTTAAAGGAAAGTTATAACAATGTTATGAAGTTTAGCATAAAAAAAATCACACTTTAAAATTATCCTTTAATTATTAGCGTAGGATTTAAAATGTCAAGCCTTAAAAGCAGAGCAGTAATTCTAATGTTAAAGACACTTTTAAACTGAAATAGTTTAGTCAGAAATCGTTTTCAAATATTTATCCTTATTTAAGGTTGATCCTATCTCAGCCCCATCTAGTAGTCTTACCTGATCCTGCAATGAAGCCATAAAGCGGAATTTGTTATACCACATTTATTTCCATAGGAAACACTGACCTCAAACACAACTGTCTGTTTTTCTCCTATCAATGTCTTTGTGCCTTTCCACACACCTCGCCCTCTGCACAGACAGCCCTCCCTGACCTGCCTGACCAGACCATTAGCCTTTCTTGTCATGTTTTGAAATAGGATAAGGGACAACTTTAAGCTGATTTCGAATATTGAAAAAAGGCCTTAAAACTTAGAGCCAAAATGGAATTTAAAAGGAAAGCAGCAGCAGCACACATTGAGGAATGCTGTCCTGTAACATCATGAATATATGCTTCTTATATTCTTTATTTGGATCAATGTATAGGAAACCTAGAGAATTATAATCAGTACCAACAGTACACCACAGTTACCTGGCCACGGAAAGTATTGCAAAGATAGACGCAGCCATAGGAAATACCTACGTGTAACTCAGCTGCTGAAGCGCCATGCACATTTATACAGCTATATAATGACATTTTCCCTTCCTGTTCTTGCGACTTTACTGCTTGTATTGAAAATGCTGTTTAATATGTAGTAACATATTACATGAATAAGCAGAAGTAGCAGATACAGAGAGGAGTTTGCATAGAAGGATACAGGGCTGGGGGAAGGAAGAATAAAGGAAAGGCAATGCATTTACGAGGAAAAGGGAATCCTTTAAAATGAAATACAGCATCTGTCCTGACTCCAAAAGAGCATGGAGATGGACCAAATGGTGACCTTCTACCTGTTATTTACAAAGAGTTATTTTTACTCTTATACTATAAAATTGTATTGGAATTGGTTATGTGAATTTGGGAATATACACTTAATTTAATTGGCATTTAGATTTCTATGCATTCATTGTCCTATTGCAGAAATTACTTTAATATGTTGCAGAAATACCCCAGCCACAGTGAGAAAAGGGTACTAAAAGTGCCATCCAATTTCACAGGCCCTCAATGTCAATTTATTCTCAGTTATACCAGTGTCTTTCTTCAATGAAGTTACCCTGGATATACAAAGGTGTAATTGAGAAGAGAATTTGGCCCATTAACTGTAATTGGGGACCCATATAATCTGGCATTGAAGAATAAAGTTATTCTGGATTCACACCAATTTAACTAAGAGCGGAATTTGGCCCCAAACACACATTTAGCACTGAGGAATACATCGGTCTCTCTGCAAAGTCTGACAAATACACTCGTGCAGAGTCTCCACTAAAAGACTAATGACAATCACAGAAAACATTAAAATTAATTGTAAATAGTTTTTAAAAGCAACTAAAGACCAAGTCCTGCCTTCTTTATACAGGCAAAACTTTCATCAAAGGCATATTTTCTTTGGAGTGTGGCAACAACTTGACTTTAAAAATCATTTTAAAAATTATACTCCAGCTCCCGAGATGAGTATTAGAAATTTCAAGCCAAAAGCTGCCTTTGGACACTATTTAAGGGCTGTGAAAAAAACAACAAAAATCAGGCTCCATTAATGTGCAGATACTGTATATAGGTCCCACTAAGCATTTAGGCCCAGATCCTCAAAGGTATTAAGGTGCCTAACTCAATCAATGAGAGTTAGGCACCTAAATACCTTTGAGGATCTTGGCCTTAGGCCTTGTACTGCACTGCTGAAGATAAAGGGCACTTTGCCATTGACTTCAATGGGCACAGGAAGAGGCCTTTATTTGTCTAGGAAATGCCAGCATTCCAAGGGCTCCTTACGGTCAGACAAAACGCAAACTGCAGTAGAAAAAGGAAAAGTAGGACATAAAGTTTTATTCTGAAATGATCTCTGGCCACAACAATAAACTGTAACAAATATGCACTAAAACAATCTTACTCCTGTCATCAGCTGTACAATACATACAGTATCATAAAACTGGCCACTAGGATTAAAATCCACTACAACATATTTAATGTTAAGTGGCGACAGCAGCATCTCACAGAAAATTATACAAACATATATACAGTCCACATTCAATCATTTTTCACGTTTTCAGTACACACAGTTGCAGCATATTACAGTCACGTGTCTAAGTCGTTGCTCAATACAAACCCAAGCTACTGCTTAGACGTAATTGTAGCAGTTGAGCCGAGTAATTACAATTTGTAGCAGAGATGTACAAGCCCCTACAAACAATAATTCACAAATGCTTTTTTTTTATTTAAATGCTACCGCAGCATCAGGTTGGGCAATATTAAAATCTTTACCGACAGCAAGAATTTAAAAAAAAAAAAAAAAGTCTCCTACTTGCCAGAAATATTCTTGATGGGGAAAAAAAAGTGTTACAAAAATGAAGAGTATCAAATAATGCACACACGTTCCTAAAGATTCAAATATAGCCCAATGCTACTTATGTCTAAAGTGTTTTAACATTCTTATGGAGTCCTTTATCGCTCCAAACCACCCACCAAGTTAAAAGTGGCTTAAGTGCCTTGCACCCAAATTGTAAAAATCCCTGGCCATCTTTATTAGAGCCAGGCACATATAAAAGGAATGCACTTTGGTTCATACCAAATGCCCTGGGATTAAATCACACTATAAAATTAAACAGTTTGAGGTAAATTTTTACAAATACAGTTGATTTCTGCTAGTGTTATCATAACAAAAACACATTAAAACAACCAGTCTGATGTTAAGATACAACTAACCATGAAGTGCCATCTTTAACCCCTTAAGCAACATAGAAGTTACTACAATAACAGAATGTTTTATCCAACATAGTGTGATTGCCTTATGTTTTCTATTAAGGCCTTGAAAACGAACAGGATGTTTTAAGATAGATATAGCATTTAAAAATAGATTTCATCCTTATTATCTAGTATTCAAAGGGTTAAAGAGGCCAAGATGTCTGCCCTACAACATGGCATTTATAACAAAAGGCACATTGTTAACACCAAGAGCACAATTTATCCTGTGTTGTTAATCTACACATCTTGCATCACTCTGTTGTTCCAATACACTTAAGTGGTAATGAACACTCCAGTGGTGCATGAAACTGAGCCAAATGAGACTGCAACCAAAGACAAGACAACACTGTGCTATTACTAAATCTGAAAATAGCTCAGACATCTCTAGACAATGGTAACATGTGAGACTAAGCACTGTTTCCAAGCCACTTCTATCAGCCTAATTATCAGAGCCCTTCTCATTAAATCACATCAAAGCAAGAGGCAATATCAGTTTCTCCCCCCCCTCCTTTTTACGTTTATAAATAAGCTACAATAACAAGAGCTATATCACTAAAATCCATAATATAGCTGCTCTTTTAAATGTAGAGGAAGTTTACTGTATTTGGGTTAAAAATAGCTCCGCACACTATATTTTGGCTTAAAAGTTTCCGGTAGCATTTATGAATAATGTCAATCACAAATGCATTATTGGCATTTAAAAAACCAGTTACATGAAAAATAAAATGTAGTGGTTTTAGTCTACTAATGAAACATGAACATTATGTATATTTTCACCTTAAATTTACATTAAAGGCAAGTACAGGTTCCAATGTTTAATTTAAAAAATATATGGGGGGAAATAATTTTTTCTAACATAATGGAATTCCTGTTTTATCCCTTGCTGATTTCCTAAACAGCTGGGGGGTAGGAGCTTAACTGGTTTATTTTACATGTAAATAAATGTTTTTCCAGACCTAGAAATTACCAATTGTCAATCACCAGATATTTAGATTCCAGAAGCCACTGTTACCTATTTGTATTATATTTCATTTTTGAATATGATTCCATACATGTTTATATATTGCACTTCCACATATTGTATAAAATTGTTTACATTTAACACTTTCTAAATAATTTAAAATTTGACAAGAGGCAGGAAACTATCATTTTAAAAATATAGTAAGAAAAATTAGTTTATCAGTGTTCAAATGTTTAAAGTTATCAATCATCAATAAACACCATCCTTTATCAGAAATTAATTTTCAGGATTTCTTTGTGTACTGACTTTTTGGCAAATAGTTGTATTATATGTTTCCTGAGAATAGTGTCATTTCTTCTCCATACCTCGCCCCCAGAATCTTAAGTTAAATAAAACTTACGTTGCTTTATTTTTAAATGAAAAATCTGAATGAATATGAATGAGAACTTAACCGGAAACTTTCTTGGCCTCTCTGGGGACCATGCTTTAAGTATTTTTAATAACTTTTACAAGTAATTTAATGCAATCGGTGCATATAAACATTGTTTATAATAAAGTTATTGACGTTTTATGCAACCCACCCAAACTTCTCGTTCTGACATCCGCAAATCCTTCTAGATTATGTTCTTTCTTCAAAATTTCCTTTTCATGTACTTTATACATCCAAGGTAGATCACGGTCATTGCTTGTTACATAATACTGATTTTACAAACTGTTACTAGTGAAAACATATTACATGTGTCACCATTCTCATCCTAACTCTAGCAATCACTCATTGAAAAAGACCATCTTCCTTCTCTGAGTGCAGTTTTAAAAACAAAACAAAACAAAAAAACACACACACACAAATCTACTTAAATTTCTACTGTTCCTTCAAAGTTCTCTTCAGCTACCATGCTAAAGATTAATTCAAACCACTTATCTTTTCCTTAATGTTTTTTCCCTTAGAGATGAAGTGCATCCGTTTATTTCACTGATTAAGTTTATGTCTTCCAATCATTCCATTGAGGAAACAATTAACACTTGCAGATGCTCAGAATTAACAATCTTCAGGTTAGTGGTTTTCTTGTCTGGTGTCTTGTTTTCTAAAAATGAATAGTTATCTTGAAGGAGCAAAACAACATTTGCCATTGTACACTGATTTGCTCTGAAGTTAAAATGTGCCAAAGAATTCATAATCCATCAGACAGATTATCTGGAAAAAAAAATCTGTGAAATTTGTGTTGCATTAACAGTCTGGAAGATACAGTATGAAAATGACAGAGGAAATAACTCTGAATGTGTGATATAGGGAGGCCTAGCTGCACTTAAGCAGTGAGAGAAGAAAACATGAGAAAAAAAGGAAACCAAACATGAATATAGGTTGTACACCTAAAATTATGTGCAAAATATTTTGCTTTATATAACTTCATCTATAGAAAGTAGCTCATCTGTCATGTTAAGTTTTAGAGGAACACACGTATTCCCACCTTCATTTATCCTCCCACTGTCTGCTCATCTCTCTCTTTTATACATAGTATGAATGTCAATTTTAGTGCTGGACACGGCTTCTTCTTTTTCTTTTTTTTGACTTACATTTGAGCATTTGTTTTAATCATTAATGTTGTTTTTCCTTTTCAAAAAATCTATAGGATGTAGCTATATCATTGTTACAAAATATCATTTTTTCCAAGCTTCTATATGGAAAATGAAAACATGCTATGGCCCCAATTCTGCAAACACTTCCACAGGTGCTTGACTGTACTCATGTGACTAGACCCACCGGCATCAAATTAAGCACTTGTGTAAGTGTTTGTAGGATCAGGACCTATATCTGTAAATGAATTCAGAGAAGGAAGAGTATTGCAAATCTAACCCAAGGGCAGGGGTGAAAGTAAGATAAAAGATTTACCAGTACAGGGGCCTGGCTCTGGGCCCCCAGAAGGGGCGGGGCCTCAGGTGGAAGGGGCGGGACTGGAGGGGTCAGCCTCCCACAGCCAGCCCTTCCACACTGCCTGGCCCACACCACCCGGGGCTCCAGTGGCAATTTAAAGGGCCTGGAGCTCCGGCCACTGCTGCAGTAGCGGAAGCCAGGAGCCCCTGGCCCTTTTAAATCACCAGGCCCTGGGGCAGCTGCCCCTTTTGCTCCCCCGTTGGCAGCCCGGGGGGGGGGCAAAATGGACAGTGATGTTAAAGCGCTTTAATGTCAGCTGTGTACGGGCCGGTACCCCGTACCGGCCCACTTTCACCTCTGCCCAAGGGAAAACTAATATGGACCATGCGGAAAAAAATGGTTAACACCTTTGACACTAAGCTGTAATGCATGACAGTTGTGTTGTAACCAGTGGCCTGCCACTGATGTTTATTACTGTACCACACTAATTACAGTAAGGCTAATTGTACTTTAGAAAACAAACACTTTTAAAAATAAGTATAAAAACTTAAAGCATTGTCCCCATATTTTTATAAAAACAAAATCAACATTTCTTACATTTAAAATGAGTGCTGAAAAGATACAAATGAATAAAGTTATTGAGCAAATAAAAATCTGAGCTACTTTTTCTTACGAATAAGGCTCAGCAATGTAGAATTCTCATATGACCAGCATTGGGTTATTCAAACTCAGCTAACAAGTTTTGGCAACACTGTTCTCTGCTGAATATTCCCATTGGCATCTGTCATCTGTGCCAAATTAGTCCTAAGTTTTGAAGCCGAGCTTGATGTTGGAGGTAACTTGGAAATTGACGTTATAGCACCAGTGCTTTCTGTTATTCGTTTTGCCGATGTCTTCTCTCCAGTTGGAGGCTTTGGCAAACGTCTCCTAAGCCAGGGATGCCGTAAAGCCTGGCTGGGTGTCATACGTATAGCAGGATCCCACTCTAAACACTGTTTTAAGAAGTCAAGGAAGAGGGGATCATCACATCCCTTTAACGCGTTCCCCCACTCTCGGCTCTCTGGTGGGCCACGCAATTTTCCCCTTCGGGAGCGGCCACCATTGAGTATTATAGAACCATCAGACAACGTGGTAATGGTACAATAACGGGGATAACCTTTAGAGCTCACAAAATTTTTGGCTCGTTTGGATGAATCCAGTAGTTTTTGGGAGGGCATGCCCAGTAGCTCTATCATACAAGCCAGTTGGTCCCCTTCATCTTCTCCAGGTAAGAGCGGGTAACCTGTTAAAAGCTCTGCTAGAATGCAGCCCAAGCTCCACATATCGATAGGCATCCCATAACGAGCACCCAGGATCACTTCCGGAGCACGGTAGAAACGTGATTGAATGTAAGTATAGACACGTTGATGCTCATAACAACTAGAGCCAAAATCAATAACTTTAATACCACTTCTACCCTGTTGCTTCAACAGAATGTTCTCTGGTTTAAGGTCACAGTGAATGATTCTATTTTTGTGCAAAGCATCTAAGCACTGTAAAATAGAGTGGGCAAACTTACGGACCAATGGCAGGCTGAAGCCCTGAAATTTGTTTTTCTTTATTAGCTCATAAAGGTTCATGCTCAGCAACTCAAATGTCATGCAGATATGGCTGCGGAATGTAAAGTTTTCCAGCATGTGAATAACATTCATGTTGTTATCCTTATCCTGTTTCCTTAGGTGCTCCAGAATTCTAATTTCTTCTGCAGCTTGGCGGTGGAAACGTTTTTCATTTCTCACCATTTTTAACGCCACATGTTGATGGGTCTTGTGATCATAAGCCTTCACAACTTGCCCAAAACTTCCTTTCCCTATTACTTTCAGGACCTCATACCTGTATGCAATATGATCATGGGGTACTTGCACGTAAGACCCCTGGTCATCATCATAACCGGAATTGTTTGGACCTCCAATCACACCTGGCCGCTTCTTTGCATTTGGACCCAAAAAGTATATTTCAGGGTAATTGAAAATTTCATGATGCTCAAAGGTTGTTAGTTTTTGCATGTATTGCTTCATTGCTTGCTCTGGTGTCATAAAAGAGGCTTTCACCTTCCCTGTTCCATCTGTCGATTTTAAAGAACTGGAGCTCCCCTGTCGTCTATGAGAACTGTCTATCTGTCTGTCCGGCACCACTGACAATCCAGATTTGCTTACTGCTGCAAGCCCATTTGGTTGTGTTGTTAGAACTGTCCTCTTGTTACTATTATCTTCAAACAGCTGTTGAACCTGAATCTGTCCGTGGCTACCAACGTGCAGGTGCTCATTCATTGTGTGCTTATTGCCTCCAACCTAAAATTCAAAACAATATTTTTCCAATTAGAACATTCAGTTCTACACTTTTTTTAATGTTTCAGAATTCCTTCTTCTATCCCCCACCAGGCCGAATTTACTTCAATTAACCATTTTTCTAAAACTGCTTACAGCTAGATTAAACATATGACCAATATCCCATGATATCTTTCGTTACTGGTCACATTTTAAAGATCTTAGAATCTCTTATACTTCTAGACCAGGGGTAAGCAACCTATGGCATGCGTGCCGAAGGCAGCACGCGAGCTGATTTTCAGTGGCACTCACACTGCCCGGGTCCTGGCCACCGATCCGGGGGGCTCTGCATTTTATTTTAGTTTTAAATGAAGCTTCTTAAACATTTTAAAAACCTTATTTACTTTACATACAACAATAGTTTAGTTATATATTATAGACTAATAAAAAGAGACCTTCTAAAAATGTTAAAACATATTACTGGCACGCGAAACCTTAAATTACAGTGAATAAATGAAGATTCGGCACACCGCTTCTGAAAGGTTGCCGACCCCTGTTCTAGACTTTCCTCACTGTCATGACCATTTCAATAAGAGGTTTGCAACAAGGCAAACAAATAAGAGGTTTGCAACAAGGCAAACAAGGGTATGGTACTATCATGGGCTAATAATTTCTCCAGAGAATCTGTAAGGCAACAGCCCAGTAATATCAAAAAATATGCTGGAGGGAAATTAAACTTGACTTTAGAGAATACAAAGTAGCAGTTTCAGTTGTGCTTGAGATTCACATCATCTGGAGGAACTTCTATTGATAAGGCACCTTTCGTTCCCCCACCTCTACAAATTGTTAAAAATCAGGATTTTAACTCCTTCCAAAATTTGGTGCGGGACAAAAGCTGTCACGTACAATTTTAAACGGAAGGGAATGAGTTTTGACATTTCAAAAGAAAAAAAATCTGGATGTTATGAAAGTGCAAGAGACTGAGTTTAACATTTATAGAGTCTATAGCCACAATTCCGCAATGCACTTACATCAACAGGACTTAAAGCACATGCTTAAGCACTTTGCCGAACTGAGTACTGTATTTGTATTACTATAGCACCTATCAGGATTGAGTGCTGGACACTGTACAAACACTAAACCATAAAAAAAAATCCATGCCTCAAAGAGCGTACAATCAAAATCTATTTTCCACGCTCTGTAATTAAAAAAATTAGGACTGGTTTTAGAAATTACGTTTTGTTTTTTTATAGTTTGCATGATGGACTAAGCATGAATCTCAACCATTTTCAAACAATAAAATATGTGATCAGAGGTGTGAAAAGCAACTATTTACATAACAGAGAAACAAGAAATATATAAGCAAACCCTTGTTCCTAACACTGATATCTTTGTAATTTCTCATTTGCTCTATGTGGAGGATATTCTCTCTCGTAAAAAGGGCCTTAAACAATCTGTAAATACATTAATTTCAAGCTGTAAAGTAAAATGATTAAAATAAAAAATAACTTTCTGTAACTTTACAATTCAAATTCATCCTTAGTGTAACTCAACTGAAGTCAGTGGAAGACTAAATTTGAGTCTTAGAGTAAAAGGGTAACAAAACTAAGTTTTAATGTAACTAATTAATTCAAATTACAGTAATAAATATGTAGTCAATGGAGTTACTTGTGGGATGAGCTTGGTTCTAAGGACCTGATTTTTAAGTGGTCTCAGAGCCCAGAACTCCCAATGACTTCAAGTGAAGTTGTGGATGCTCAGTACTTCTGACAAAGAGGCCTTAAGAACTGAAATGCATCTTCTTCATTCCTGCCTGTAATGACCTTGGATATATCAGTTATAACAACGTGGGGTCTGATTTTTCTACATTAATTTATTGGAAAAACTTGCAAGGATAAAATAGTGAAGCTAATGATATGCAACCCTAAGTGTTTAAGATTCATTTACAAATACGGGTTCTAAATCATTAACACAACCATATCAATCTTTGAAGTCAATTTCACAACTCCAATATCAAGACATGGGCTGTGAATGATACTCACTGATTCATTTCAAAAATATTAGTCAAACCAGAATGCCAGACTACCACTGTGATATTACTCATGTGTGACATAAACAAAATAAAGGCATTGTCTTTGGTTAGTTTTCCATTAACGTACTGGACAAAGATTACTGGGTGAATGTCTTGACAAAATCTTGTCAATAACAAACTTTCAGTTTTTACCAGTAACAGACACTAAACGGTAGAACAGACAGGAAAGATGGTTTTGCAGTTAAAGCACTGGACTGGGACTTTGGAGATCTCCCGGCTCTACCACAGATTTCCTTTAATCTCTTTGACGCCTCAATTCCGTATCTGTAAAATAGGAAGGAAATACTTCCTTTCTTCCACTCTTTGACTGCTTGTCTAGTTAGAGTGTAAGCTACTCAGAGCATGGACTGTCTTTTACCACGTGTTTGTACACTGCACCAATGGACAAAATGGAACACCACTCTTGGTTGAGGCCTCTAAATTTTACTGAAATAGAAATAACTCATCATTCTTTCAGCTTGGTCTTACACAAATGTGTGAAGAATTCTCCTGCCATCTCACCACCTGACTTATCGGCCTCAAAATTTATGCCAAATCACTAACCAAAAGTGCACTAATGTTAAAATGAAATTCAGAAATGACTAGAGTAAACTCTGATTTCAGGCAATGTTTTAACTGCAGAGAAAAGGGCTTCCCCAGGAGAAAATCCCCCATGTAGTGCACCGTTAGCATATTACATTATTTTATTACGGGATTTACTCTAATATGACAGACATTTCTTTGTAAAATCATTCGTTTCCCAAAGAGCAGACAACCTGGATGCAAGCTTTATGTTTTGATGATATTCTTTCAGTTTGCACATCTTAAATTTTCATAATATGAAAATCTCTAGAGTTCCTGGGGATTCTTTCTGCTGAGTTTAGGGTTTTTCTACATACATTGTGACTCAGATCTAATAACAGGTCTATTTTATTTCAAGATTGTAACTTTACTGCACATGTTTATTTGCGAAGCCATTTGGGCCTGGGCAATCAAATCTGACTGATCTTAAATGAAGTTTTACAACACACTGGCATTCAGAGCAAAGGAGCTTGTATCATTCAAGCATAGTGGAGAGATACAGAATATTGAACTAACTGCCTCCCTTGCTTAAATTCTCAGAAACACCATGAATTAAACGACCAGGAAGACTTAACTGCCCTGTGACCCCTCCGGACAATTCCTCCAGGTCATGTTTGAAGAATATTGGTGTGGCAGGGTCTGGAATGCTGCTCTGTTCCTGAGCGTGCTATACTTTGGTGGGTAAAGAGAGGACTTCAGTCCACAGAGCTATCAGGAAGGCATATTTCACAAGCACCAAATTACTTAGAAGGTTTCTGGGGTTTGGGAGAGGGCTGCGGGGAAGGGTTCAGTATATGTAGAATTAAAAGACTGTGTAAATAAGAATCACATAAAAATGTGGCATAGTGCAAAGTGCAGGTTGCAAATACTAAAGCCAAGAAATCGGAGAAGTAAAGATTTCTTCTGCAACATTAATTCAACCACATTTTATGATACACATTAACAACAAAACTAAAACATACTTAAGACAGGAGTAGAAAATACTACTTATGAGCAATGAGACTGAGATGGTGTTGAGGAAGAAACCATCTCTCTCAGAATTTCTTTAAGTGCTCAATGCCACAATCTAAACCTTGAATTCATTTTAGTTTTTTAATTTGATTCTCCTGGTTTTAAGGACTATTTGGCTTATGCATTTTACAACTACTGTAGGTTTCACTACAGGATGTACATTCCTTGAACTGTAGTTATTTGTCTTATACCAGGAGTTAAAAAACAAATCAATTTATCCACTCACCACCAGTAGTGAGTAGGAATTGTTTCCTAATGAAGCTTTCAGATAAGCTTTCCAAATCTTAAACAATATAGTTCTGCCTTCCTGAGCCTTTAGACAGTTTCAGAGTTTCTCCTGCTGCACATAGGTTTTCTAAGCAGATGAATGAAACTACCAAGACTGCTCAGTTTTTTTACTGCTTTTCACTGGACTCTAGATAGTACTTCAGCTGCTGCTGGGCAGTCATTCAGTTTTCACTCAGCTGCTTCTTGAGAATTTCAAAGTGATTGGACTGAATCTTACGCTTTTATAGCGAGTTCAGCTGAACTCCCGTTGTGCTCCATTTTCAACAAAAAACTATCCAACAATAAGAAATCAAACCTACAAAGACATTTTGAAAAGAAACATTGGACGTTTGCTGAAACTTATCCAGCTGGTGATGAGAGGAAAAAAGCAGTAGAGGAGCTCCGACGCAAAGCAGAGCAAACAAGATATACGTTTGCTAAATGGATGAAGGCGCCAAGTGGAACTACTACTGCTAGTTTCACGGCAGCTCAAGAAATTGTAAAACGAGGGAAACCATTCACAGATGGAGAATATGTAAAAGAATGTTTCATTAAAACATTCAAGCACCACTTTGGCGATTTTAGAAACAAAGATGAAATAGTTAAGAAAATTAGAGAAATGCCATTATCTGTGAAGACTGTAAAGGACAGAACTATTAAGATGGCCGTAGACGTAATCAGCCAGTAGGTTAGTGACATTAGATCAGCACCAGGTTTTTCTATTGCCTGCGATGAGACAAGTGATGTGAATGATATCACTCAGGTTGCCTTACTCGGCAGATATGTTAATGATCAAGGTCCTCAAGAAGAGTTGATCACGTTATTGCCACTCAAAGGACAAACTCAGGACGAAGATATTGCATCTGCTGTCACTGAATGTCTGAAACAAAAAGATATTGACATCAACAGAATAATTGCTATTGCTACAGATGGAGCACCAAGCATGAAGGGGGCACACAAAGATTTGGTTTTTTTTTACTTAAAAAAAGTATGGCGCACGATGTAATTTCATTTCACTGCATAATCCACCAGGAGGCACTGTGTGCACAAACCTTTCCAGAGGAAATCTCAAAAGTAATGGAAATGGTCGTGC